CCATTCCAAGTGCGCTGTCTAGCAGCTCTATAATTCCCAGTGTGCTGTCTCGCAGCTCTACCAATCCCAGTGTAATGTCCCGGTTCTTATTACTCCAAGTGCCCTGTATAGCAACTCTATCAACCCCAGTGCACTGCCTAGCAGCTCTACCATTCCAAGTGTGCTGTATAACAGCTCTATCATTCTCAGGGTGCTGTCTCGCAGCTCTACCAATCCCAGTGTAATGTCCCGGTTCTATTACTCCAAGTGCCCTGTATAGCAACTCTATCAACCCCAGTGCACTGCCTAGCAGCTCTACCATTCCAAGTGTGCTGTATAACAGCTCTATCATTCTCAGGGTGCTGTCTCGCAGCTCTACCAATCCCAGTGTAATGTCCCGGTTCTATTACTCCAAGTGCCCTGTCTAGCAACTCTATCAACCCCAGTGCACTGCCTAGCAGCTCTATCATTCCAAGTGTGCTGTCTAACAGCTTTCTCATTCCAAGTACACTCACTGTCTAGCAGCTCTTTCTTTCCAAGTGTTCTGTCAAGAAACTCTATTACTCCCAGTGCACTGTCTAGCAACTCTATCATTCCCAGTGCACTGTCTAGTAGCTCTACCATTCCAAGTGTGCTGTCTACAACTCTATTACTCCCAGTGCACTGTCTAGCAACTCTACCATTCCCAGTGTAATGTCCTACTGCTCATTTATTCCCAGTGTGCTGTCCAGCAACTCTGTCATTCCAAGTGCACTGTCTAGTAGCTCTACCGTTCCAAGTGTGCTGTCTACAACTCTATTACTCCCAGTACACTGTCTAGCAACTCTACCATTCCCAGTGTAATGCCCATCTGCTCTATTATTCCCAGTGCACAGTTTAGTAGCTATAACATTCCCAGTGTGCTGTCTAGCAGCACTACCATTCCAAATGAGCTGTCTAGCAGCTCTATCATTCCCAGTGTAATGTCTTGCAGCTCTACCATTCCCAGTGTAATGTCCGTCTGCTCTATTTTTTCCAGTGCATTATCTAGCAACTCTACCATTCCCAGTGTGCTGTCTAGCAGCTCTACCATTCCCAGTGTAATGTCCTTCTGCTCTATTATTCCCAGTGCACTGTGTAACAGCTCTATCTTTCCCAGTATACTGTCTAGCAGCTATAACATTTCAAGTGCGCTGTCTAGCAGCTCTACCGTTCCCAGTGTAATGTCCCTCTGCTCTATTATTCACAGTGCACTTTCTAACAGCTATACCATTCCCAATGCACTGTCTAACAGCTCTACCATTCCCAGTGTGCTGTCTCACGGCTCTACCATTCCCAGTGTGCTGTCTAACAGCTCTACCATTCCAAGTGTGCAGTCTAGCAGCTCTACCTTTCCCAGTGTAATGTCCCTCTGCTCTATTATTCCCAGTGCACTGTCTAACAGCTCTACCATTCCCAGTGCACTGTCGAGCAACTCTATTATTCCCAATGCACTGTTTAGCAGCTCTGCCATTCCCAGTGTAATGTCCCTCAGCTCCATTATTCACAGTGCACTTTTTAACAGCTATACCATTCCCAGTACGCTGTAGAGCAACTCTATTATTCCCAGTGCACTGTCTAACAGCTCTACCATTCCCAGTGCACTGTCGAGCAACTCCATTATTCCCAGTGTGCTGTCTTGTAGCTCTACCATTCCAAGTGTGCAGTCTAGCAGCTCTACCTTTCCCAGTGTAATGTCCCTCTGCTCTATTATTCCCAGTGCACTGTCTAACAGCTCTACCATTCCCAGTGTGCTGTCGAGCAACTCTATTATTCCAACTGCACTGTCTAGCAGCTCTGCCATTCCCAGTGTGCTGTCCAGCAACTATCATTCCCAGTGCACTGTCTAGTAGCCCTATTATTCCCAGTGCACTGTCTAGCAGCTCTACCATTTCCAGTGTAATGTCCCTCTGCTCTATTATTCCCAGTGTGCTGTCTAGCAACTCTACCATTCATAAAAGCTTTATCATTCCCAGTGCGCTGTCTAGCAGTTCTATTATTCCCAGTGCACTGTCTAACAGCTCTATCATTTCCAGTGCACTGTCTAGCAGCTTTATCATTCCCAGTGCGCTATCTAACAACTGTGTCATTCCAAGTGCACTGTCTAGCAGCTATACCATTCCCAGTGTGCTTTCTAGCAGCTCTACCATTCCAAGTGCGCTGTCTAATAGCTCTGCCATTCCCAGTGTAATGTCCTCTGCTCTATTATTTCCAGTGTGCTTTCCAGCAGCTCTACCATTCCCAGTGTGCTGTCTAGCAGCTCTATCATTCCCAGTGTGCTGTCCAGCAACTCTACCATTCCAAGTGTGCTGTCTAGCAACTCTATCATTCCAAGTGCACTGTCTAACAGCTCAGTTATTCCCAGTGTGCTGTCTAGCAACTTTGTCATTCCAAGTGCGCTGTCTAGCAGTTCTATTACTCCAAGTGCCCTGTATAGCAACACTATCAATCCCAGTGCACTGTCTAGCAACTCTATCATTCCAAGTGCACTGTCTACAAGCTCTGTTATTCCCAGTGTGCTGTCTAGCAACTCTGTCATTCCAAGTGCGCTGTCTAGCAGCTCTACCAT